TGCTCAGATCAATGGTATGCACCTGTGTTAGGGATGTGGGCTAGAACCCTGGGGCCAGGGTGCATCTAGGGATCAATCATGAAATTATCCCTCCTTACTGGGTTCTGATTGGCTGAAGTAGCTGCTCAAAGGTGGATTGCCAAAACAAATAATCAGTTTTCCTGGGGGAATGTCATCCCAAGAGAAAATCCTAACTCTGGTACCTTTCCCCCAAAAGAGCTCTTTTTTGCTCTTTCTAGACCCTTTCAACTTTCCTTACTTGTGTATTTGTGGCAAATGAGAGGCCATGTAGAACTGTTAATTCAATCATAAATTTGACTCTGCATGAGATATAATTACAGAAGCGTGTTCTGGAGACCCTGAATAAAGATAGAAATGTTTGTACATCACTGAGTTAAGTTGTACCATGATACTTTCTGTCCACATGTTGTGTTCCTGAACTTACAGAGGGGCTCACCCTATCAAGCTGTAAGGGGTCTTGTCAAGTCCATATAGGCATAGGGTAGAAACACACGTAGTATGTAATGAGGATGAAATAGCTTACAAGCCTAATCATAGACTGGGCTGGCCTCCCTTTCACTCTCCAAACCAATTAAAGTGGTCCCAATCCAATTCAATACAATGATAATTTATTAGGTGCTTATTATATGTCAGGCACTGTGCTAGATACTGGAGATACTATGATTAAAAACAAAGCAGTCTCTGCCCTCAAAGGGCTTATACTCTACTGAAGAAGAACAATATGTCCACAGATAAGTCCATTTAAACATTGCATTCAATACATGCAAATCGATTCTGGAAGCAGTGGAAGAGAATCACAAATAACTGGAGAACTGGGAAAGGTCCCTTGCAGGAGATATCCCTTAATCTGATCCTTGAAGGGAAATAGGGGCTTCTAAAATGCAGAGGGGACGAGGAAGAGCATTTAAGTTGTAAGAGTGATTGATCACTGGAATACTTGACCAATTTGATGAATTCTCCAATTGGTCCTTTGGTAATTCCTTCCTCCCCACTCCTCATCCCAAGGCAGTGAGGACAGTGTGTGCAAAAGAGAGGTAACAGATGAGCTATTTTTGCTGTGGAGAGCACCAAGTGGACCCATTTGTCTGGAACATAGAGAATATGAGAGGAAGTAATGTGTCTGGAAAGAGAGCTTGGAGACTGACCATAAAATGTCCAACCAGGGCTTCCTTGAGAGCAGGGACTATTCTATGTTTTTTTTTTTTACTTTCTTTATATCTCTAGCACTTAGCACAGTGCCTGACATATAGCAGATGCTTAATAAAAGCTTATTGCCTTGGCTTGATTAGACATAGGAGCTACACCATTGATGCTGTATCCCCCAAAGTATAACTCTGAAGTAGGAGACAGATACTTGTTCATTCTTCACCAAAAGAAGATTATGAAAGAGCAGAAATTTAGCCAGTCTTTGTGCATATTGTTCTGCCCCTTAGCCATGGGATCATAACTTGGCATGTGACCACACAAGCCTGGGAGATGTGCCCTACAGGGAACTGAACTGGTATATACCAGGGGGCCACAGACAGGCAAATTCCACCCTTACCATGGCATGTATTTCTTTGAGGGTATCACTGAGAAAAAATACAACTAAGGAAATGAAAGGTGTACGTTCAGTTTCTTTTGTTACGGGTGGCACAGTGTCTTAGTATAGTGAAGACCTCAGTGGTAAAAAGGGAGGGAATGACCCTGCTGACCTTAGCAAAGCCAAAGAGAGCACCTTTTCATCACTCAGGTGCTATAAACCAAGTCCCGACCAGCCCCCAAACAACCCTCCATCTCTACTACACTCCAATGCCCCAATTATGTTCATTTTACAGTGGTACTGTACAGCCGAGGAGTTCAGATTGTGTCTCTTTCTCAGTCTATGGACATAAATTTGGGTTTCTTTCTTCTGCATGAGTCAGATAAGAGCCCCAGAGAAGAAGAATGGTTAGAATGGCTTCTCAGGTAGACAGAGAAGGAAAAGAGCTCATTTATAAAATAAAATATCAGGTGTAGAAGGAGACTTAGGATGTTGCTTCTATATCCTACTGTAGGATTGTAGAATATTGAATAGAATATCAGAGCATGAAGGGCTGTGGCAAGTTTCTAGTCAGGGGGTTCTTAATCTTGTGTCTGTGAACTTATTTTTAAAAAAATAACTTTCAATATAGTTTCAATTTTTGTATTTAGATAACTGTATTTCAATATAGTGTCCTTTGTAATCCTATATATTTTTATACATTTAAAGATATTGTTCTGTGATGGGGTCCAGAGGCTTCACTGGACTGACAAGGAGTCCATGAATAAAAAAGGTTAAGAACCTTGATCTAGTCTAACCCCTGCCAGGAGACAGTGTAATTCAATGGAAATAGTGTTGGATTTGGGGTCAGAGAATTTGGTTTCAAATCCTAGCTCTGATATTTACTTACTTGTGACTCTGGGCAAGTAATTTTCCCTCTCTTGGTCTCTGTTTACTTATCTGTGAGATAAAAGGGTTTGACTAAATGGTTTCAGAGGATCCTTCCAGCTCTAAATTTATGATGCAATCAACAAGCATTTATTTATGTTCCAGGCAGTGTGATAGGCACTAGGGGTACTAGATTCAAAAGACAGTTTCTGCCCTCAAGGAGCTTACAATCTAGTGGGGGAGACAACATGTAAACAAATATATACAAAATTAGCTATTACAGGATAAATAGGGAATAATTAAAAGAGAGAAGGCACTAGAATTTAGAGGGATTGAGGAAGGCTTCCCATAGAAGGTGGGATTTTAGTTGGGATTTAAAGGAAGCCAGAGAGGTCAGTAGTCAGAGTGGAGAAAAGAGAGCATTGCAGGCATGAGGGACAGTCAGAGAAAATGCCTAGAGCCAAGAGATGGCATGTCCATGGGACAGCCAAGAGTCCAGTGTCACTGGATTGAAGACTGTGTATTGGGGGTAAGGTGTAAAAAGAAGGAAAAGTAGGAGGAATTTAGGTTACGAAAAACTTTGAATTCTCCTAGATGCAATAGGGAGCCACTGGAGTTTATTGAGTAGGGGGATGTGTGTGATATGATCAGATCTGTGTTTTACTAAAATCACTTTAGTGGCTGAATGGAGGATGGATTGGAGCAGGGAGAGACTTGAGTCAGGCTGACTCACCAGCAGGCTATTGTAATGATAAAGGCATGAAGTGATAAAGGCCTACACCAGGCTGGTGGCAATGTCAAAGGAGAGAAAGGGAAATATTCAAGAGATGTTGTGAAGGTGAAATTGGTAGGCCTTGGCAACAGCTTGGATATACCGAGATGAGAGATAATGAAGAATTCAGGATGACTCTTAGGTTGTAAGCCTGGGGGACTGGAAGGATGGTATTGCTCTCTATAGTAATTGGGAAGGTAAGAGAGGGGAGGGGGTTAGGGAGATAGAAAATGAGTTGTTTTGAGTTAAGATGTCTACTTTATATCCAGTTTGAGATATCTGAAGGCAGTTGGAAATGCAAGATTGTAAATCAGCAGAGAGATTGGAGCAGGAAAGGTAGATCTGAGAATCATCAGCATGGTGATGGTAATTAAATCCATGGGAGCTGATGAGATCACCAAGTGAAATAATATAGAGGGAGAAGAGAAGAGGGCCCAGGACAGGACCCTGAGGGACATCAATGGTTTGAAGTTGTGATCTGGAGGAGGATTCAGCAAAGGAGACAGAGAAGGAGCAGTGAGATAGGTAGGAGGAGAACCAGGAGAGAGTGGGGTCTCAAAAACCTAGAGAGAAGAGAGGATCAAGGAGGGGAGAGTGATCAATGGTGTGAAAGGCTGCAAAGAGGTCAAGAAGAATGAGAATTGAGAAGAGGTCATTGAATTTGGCAACCAAGAGATCATTGGTAACTTTGGAGGGAGCTGTTTGGCTGGAACGAGAGCATGGGAAGCCAGATTATAAGGGTTAAGAAGAGAGAGAGAGAGGAGAGGAAGTGGAGGTGCAGGCTACCATTTTGAAGAGTTCAATTACAAAGTACAGCGATATGGGATGAAAATTAGCTGGGATGGAAGGATCAAGGGAGGGTTTTTTCAGGATGAGGGAGAGAGACATGGACATGTTTGTAGGCAGTAGACAAGAGAACTGAATCACAGAGGTGATTCCCTCAGTATCACATAGGTAATGAACCGATCCACGAATCAAACCAGGGCATTCTGACCACAAACCCAATGCTTTTTCATGTATTGATGGAAATGCTAAAGATAAATAAAAATGCTCCAGTTACCATATGATTTCCCCATTTTCCTACTTTTAGGATGCTAACTCATTCCTTTCAGATAGCTCATTTGTACACTCTGGATTATCTCCCAACTCCATGCTTTGCTTCTTCCCAGGATGTAGTGCCTTCTGGCAATTCTGGTTGCCTCTGCCAGCCCATTTAGCTAATGAAGGCAATGGCCCAAGAGGCCAACAGATGCCCAATTTGGGATCCAACTTTTTGTAACTGAGTCATGAAGTTTTCTGCAATTAGATGTTAGACATTCAGTTTCTGTGGGAGGAAGCTATCTGGGGAAGGTCTTAGGAAACATGTAGTTTCATTCCCTGGACTGGTGCCTCTTAGGAATGGGAGATTGGGAGCGGCTGTCCACAGCAAAGGATACTGGAAACACAGTTGGCATATTCCTTGTTCTGATTTTCCTGGAAGCTGTGGAGTGCTAATAAAAAGAAGAACGCCAAGACCATCTGAGATGAAAACTCTAGATAAGGCCTGTTCCATGCTGACAAGCAGGATCAAGGAAACTGGTGAAGCACAAGTTATTAAAAAGGAACTGTGTGTCCTTGACTATATTAGAAAGAGGAAATTGACTTTCAAAAAAGCTGCCATCTATGTGTTTCCAACAGTACTGGAGACCCCAGGGCGTCAGCATCAAACTCTACATGCTTGGGAACCCAGAATTTGTGGAACAATTTACACGTTGATGAATTTGAAGTGCAGAGGGCATGAACAGGAAAAAAAGAAGTGAAACATAAATCTGAAAACTCTCACGTAAGTGTAGAGTGTAACTCAGTCATTGTCACTACTGTATTCATAAGAAGGGAAGATGGACCGGCATCAAGTTGGCGTGGAAAGAGAAAGTGAGGCCTCTATTGCTGGTGACAGCAAGTTGTGATGGAAAGAGGGCTGGATAGGGAGTCTTGGATTCAAATCCTGGCTCAACCATTAACAAACTGTGTCATGAAGACCTTGGGTAAGTGACTTTACCTCCTTGGGCCCCAATTTCCTTCTCTACAAAAAGGGGGTTAGATGACTTCTAAGGTCTCTTCCATATCTAAAACTCTGGTCCTATCGCTGAAGTGCGAATGTGTCCATTTGACTGTCACATTTCTCCTGGAGGAGAGGAAACAGCACTCAAAGGCAGGGTTCACAGTAGGTATGAACAAAGTGAATGTGTGAGTGAATGTAGGGAGGTGGTCTCAGTGTTTTCTAACATGATCCTGATTTTGACACAGACATTTTTCTTCTTAAAGGTGACTTTCCTCTCTCCATCACCCCCACACTGAACCCTTTAAAGCACAACTGGACAGACAGAACATAGTGTTTTTTTTTAAAGTACATTTTGCAGTACTTCCCTCACATTACAGTACAACCAAGGCTTGTAGGTATGTTAGTAACTGAACTCTTTGGACATGATGGATTCACACCTTAGGCTGAATTCCCTTTTTTGGCTAATAGCATTATGTGGAATTCCCAGAATCCTCTCAGCCCCCTCTGGCTGTGAGACAGGGATCCTGGGACCATTTGAAAACAGCACTGAAAAGCTCATTGTGTTTTTGTTTTCTCTAACTTTGTGTGTGTGTGTGTGTGTGTGTGTGTGTGTGTGTGTGTCTATGTTAGCAATATTGACAAAGGATGTTTATGGTTCTGGAAAGGTCTTGGGCTCTGTGCTGTAGGCTGAAGCTCCTTATGGCAACTGAGCTGAGCTTGACCTCCTACCTGCCTCTGTACCATCTCTCGTCTCTGTTGTCCAAAGATACTGCTCCTAGGAAGGTTGTTCTGGGTTTCCAAGTATTTGGAGTCATGGCCTATGTCAAGCTCCTCCACCCAATGTGACGAATGTCTTCCATTAGCAATCATGGCGTCAGGTCAGTAACAACCCGAAAGGAAAATGTCAGCTCACAAGGCTATTAATCCCGAGAGTAGTGCCTTTACCCCATGTACCATTTTTAATTAAGCCAGGATGGGCTTTCTTGCCCATTCCTCATGTCTCCTTTGCTGGTACAGGAGGCTGAACATTGCCCTGATGTTGTGCTGTTTCCAAGTTTAATTTCATTTGGGATGGTGGAAAATTTTGAAGTCTGTCTTTGGTTTCTTCTACATCCATTTTCAGTGCATTTCTCCTATTTCTTGTCTCCCTCCAGGGGTCCAGCTTAGACTTGGAGTCATTTTCCAGGAAGGTCTTGCTCTCAATGAACTGTCCATCACTACTAAGTAAAGTATTAGCTGATAATAACTTCAGGTGTTATGCCTCTTATGTGACTCTTCTTCTAAGACCCTAAAGCAGGGGTTTTAAAATTGGGATTTATGAACTTAATTTTTTTTATAATTGTATTTCAATATTTTTTCTTTATAATCCTGTGCATTTTATGTTATGCAATTAAATGCATTATTCTGAGAAGGGAGTCCATAGACTTCACCAGACTGCCAAAGGGATCCAGGATATACAAAAATTAAAAATCTCCTCCCTAATGAATGAATGAAAATGACATTTTAAGAACTTTCTATGTGTCAGGTACTGTGCTAAAAACTGGGCTTATAAACATAGAAATGCAGAGTCCCTACTCTCAAAAAACTTACATTGGAACAGAGGAGGAAAAACCATAGAGGAGTGGTGGCCAGGGAAGAGAGGTTTTTCTGGGGAGTAACAGTAATATTCAGTTGATCCATAGGGGAATCAGTCAAAAGGTCCTTTCCAAAAGCAATGATGCCACTAACTTGATTTCTGTGGCCAGAGCAAGAGGAAGAAAGCAAAAGTGGGGGAAGGAGGACAGATTGTACAATGGCCTGGATGCTCAGCTGGCTAGGATATGAAGAACAGTCTGGTATGGACTGTGGCCAGCTATATGCAATGGGCTAGACAAATTTGCAACCATTTAGTAACCAGTCAAGGTGATAAAGCCACATGGCAGGAGTTCCGTAGTTGAGTAAATGGATGAATCTTAAAAGGAGGAATGTCAGGCACTGTGAAAAAACAGTATGTTAGACCAGAGAAAGCACCAGACTAGGAGTCAACAGAACTGGGTTCTAGTTCCAGCTTGGTCCTAACTTGTTATGTGACTTGTCACCTCCTGGGACATTGGTTTCCTCATCTCTACACAGGATCACAGATTGTGAGCTTGAGGACACCTCAGAAGTCATCTGGTCCAGCTTCCTCATTGGATGAAGAAACTGAGGCTGAGAGAGATTAAGTGACTTGCCAAAGGAGGCAGTGTGCTACTGTAGAAAGGACCTGGGTTTAAATCTTATCTTTTCTACTTACCACCTCATGACTTTGGGCAAAGCCCTTAAACTTATGCAGCCTCGGTGTCCTCATCTGTAAAATGGAGATATAAACTAGATGGCCTCTGAGGTCCCTTCCAGCTCTAGATCTGTGATCTTATGACCCAGTTCTGTTCTCATTAGCAAATACAAAGTGCTTTGAGATCCCCCATGATGGCTCTTCTTGGGGCAGTGTATAATCCAGAAAAGTAGGAAAAATAACTAGCACCTCATTTGGAGTACAGAAATGTGGGCTAATACCTCTACCTATTGAGTTTTTCCAGGGTCTCTGAAAGTGTGGGGTCCTATGGATTGCCAGGGTGTGAGAGAGAACTATTAGAAGCTATTAGAAACATTTGTCACCAAATATGTTTGATGCCTTGCAAGTATGTATTAAACTTAGTTTCTGCAATGGTTGGGCTCTTGGTACCATAGACAGAGTACTCGATTTGGGATCAGGAGGACCTGGTTCAAATTTCAGCTCTGCTATTTACTACTTTGGGCATGTCATTTAATCCGATAATCTCAGTTTTCCTATCTATAAAATAAAGAGGCTAAACTAGATTTCTTTGAGATCACTTCTTACTCTAAATATGTGATTCTACAGGTCACTCAGCAGACTGAATTCTACATTATTAGGGTGTCCTAGGTAAAAAATGCTTATCTAAGTCCTTTGAGGCTTCGCTTATCACAGAATGAATACCTCAGTACCATGGAGAGTGGCCTTTCTGGCTGTAAAAAGATGTGTTTATAAAAGGTCATATTAAAAAGCCATCTTCATGTTGCCCCTTCTTTTTCCAAATATTGCACCCTAGCAACTCCTTATCTTGTCCACCCCCTAGTTTCATTTTTGTTCTGAGAAAAAATGCAGCTGATTTCCCAGGGTTGCCGAGGGTTAGATAGCTGAACACTTCCCCCCTCTCCCTGAACCCTTGAGAGTGGGGTCTGGAAAACAAACAGACAAGTTTGTAACTCTTTGAGCTCCTGGTCTGCATCCAAAGGAAATTCATGAGATCAGGCCAAGAGAAGGCCTCGGAGATGCTGTAGTTTAATCATTGACTCTTCGGATCCAAAGACTCAGAGGGACCTTAGAATTCCCCCAGGCCCAGGCAACAGACCAGAAATCTTTTTTGGTGTGGTTGCTGTTTGTTTGCTTTTCACTATTCATCCATTACCCAGAAGGAGCAAGCTGTGGTCTGAGTTCCAGCCTGCTCCACAGGGTGTTATAAAGATGTAGCAGAGGCCTCCAGCTCACGTGCTGGCAGGATCAGGAGAGAAAAAGGAAAGAAACATAAATAGCTGTTTTTTGTTTTTTAAAACTGAGGACAGAAGTGGACATGAAGTTTACTTGGCCAGTGCTCCAGCCTTGTGAAGTTTTGTTCTTTCACATGACCTGAGCTCTGGTCTCCAAACAGGACAGCTTATTTGTTATTCCTTTAACATAACTTATGTTTTCCAGCCTCCTTCTCTTTGCTCACGCTGTGACTCCTGCCTAGGATGCACTCCTTATAATAGCCCTTTAATGCGTTTCATTTGCTCCTCTCAATAACCCTGTGAAGTAGGTATTCTTATCATCCCTATTTTACAGATGTGGAAAGTGAGGCTCAGAGTAGTGAAGTAGTTCCCCAGGCAAGTGTCTGAGGCAAGATTAGGACTTGGGTCTTCCTGATTCTATGTCCAATATTCTCTGCCCCTCTGCTTATTTCAAAAGACAGAGGTCACAAGGATATAATAGAGCAGTGAACTAGGAAAGAGGCAGGAGGTGAGTCCTAGCAGTCCATTAATGCTCTGGGACACCTTGGCCAAGATGCTATATAATGAAGCTAATAGAATGAAGATAATATGCACCTCTGCTATATAATGAAGACAATGTGGACCTGACCTACCTTCACTACATTCATAGGATCATAGATTTTAGATCTGGAAAGGAGGCCCTTTAGTCCAATCCTATAATTTTACAAATGAGGAAACTGAGACCCTTAAGTGACTTGCCTCAGGTCCCACAGGTCTAGGATGTTGAACCAGAGTTCTTTCTGAAGGCAAAGTACCATGCTTCTTTTTATGTAAGGGGCAAATGAGATAATGGATGCTAAAATCTTTGGAAACTTCTAAGTATTGTTTAAATACAGCCTTAGCCATCATTCAAAGGCCATTCTTCATTGACCTTCCTGATCCCTCCAAAGAGATTTCTTGTCTTTTCAACTTGACTGAATGCTCCCAAAAGACAGGGGCTGGTGTCAAGTCATTGAACCCCCGACCCGAATTCTGAATATGGGAGTTTCTTGGTAAATGGATCACAGTTTTAGGATTTCAAAGGTCATCCAATCCACATCTCTTCCCCTCCCTCTAGTTTTACAGGTGAAGAAACCAAAGCCCATAAAAAGAAAGTGAATTGTCCAAGATCACATAGTAGTAAATGAAAAAACTGGGATCTGAAACCAAGTTCTCCGAAGAGTTTAATTGGAAAATAATAGATGAAGTCAACAAATAAGAGAAAAGCTGCAGAACATATGGCAAGGCCTTCTCACCAACAAGTAATTAGTTGCTGGTGTGGAAATGTGTGAATAGAAAAGAAAAAAAAAAGACTCTTAAACACTTATTATGGCGCTATAGACCTATGAGTTAATGAATAAATCCTAGGGAGATGCCTGATGCATACAGGGTTAAATAATTCACCCCAAATCCCACAGCTAGTAAGTATTAAAGGGCAGA